CTACTCCTGCCCCATAGTGCCTCTACTCGTGCCCCATAGTGCCTCTAATCCTGCCCCATAGTGCCTTTACTCTCATCCCATAATGCCTCTACTCCTGCCCCATAGTGCCTCTACTCGCGCCCCATAATTGCCTCTACTCCTGTCCCATAGTGCCTCTACTCGTGCCCCATAGTGCCTCTACTCGCGCCCCATAAGTGCCTCTACTCCTGTCCCATAGTGCCTCTACTCGTGCCCCATAGTGCCTCTACTCGCGCCCCATAGTGTCTCTACTCCTGCCCTATAGTGCCTCTTCTCGTGCCCCACAGGCCTCTACTCGTGCCCCATAGTGCCTCTACTCGTGCCCCATAAGTGCCTTTACTCATGCCCCACAGTGCCTCCACTCGTGCACCATAGTGCCTCTACTCATGCCCCAAAAGTGCCTCTACTCGTGCCCCATAGTGTCTCTACTCCTGCCCCATAGTGCCTCTTCTCGTGCCCCACAGGCCTCTACTCGTGCCCCATAGTGCCTCTACTCGTGCCCCATAAGTGCCTTTACTCGTGCCCCACAGTGCCTCTACTCGTGCACCATAGTGCCTCTACTCATGCCCCATAAGTAACTTTACTCGTGCCCCACAGTGCCTCTACTCGTGCCCCACAATTCCTCTACTCGTGCCCCATAGTGCCTCTACTCGTGCCCCATAGTGCCTCTACTCCTGCCCTTAAGTGCCTCTACTCGTGCCCCATATTGCCTCTAGTCGTGCCCCATATTGCCTCTCCTCGTGCCCCATAGTGCCTTTACTCGTGCCCCATAAGTGCCTCTACTCGTGCCCCATAGTGTCTCTACTCCTGCCCCATAGTGCCTCTACTCGTGCCCCACAGGCCTCTAATCGTGCCCCATAGTGCCTCTACTCGTGCCCCATAAGTACCTTTACTCGTGCCCCACAGTGCCTCTACTCGTGCCCCACAGTGCCTCCACTCGTGCCCCATAGTGCCTCTACTCGTGCCCCATAAGTGCCTTTACTCGTGCCCCACAGTGCCTCTACTCGTGCCCCACAGTGCCTCCACTCGCGCCCCATAGTGCCTCTACTCCTGCCCCATAGTGCCTCTACTCGTGCCCCATAGTGCCTCTACTCGTGCCCCACAGGCCTCTACTCGTGCCCCATAGTGCCTCTACTCGTGCCCCATAAGTGCCTTTACTCGTGCCCCACAGTGCCTCTACTCGTGCACCATAGTGCCTCTACTCGTGCCCCATAAGTGCCTCTACTCGCGCCCCACAGTGCCTCTACTCGTGCACCATAGTGCCTCTACTCATGCCCCATAAGTGCCTTTACTCGTGCCCCACAGTGCCTCTACTCGTGCCCCACAGTGCCTCCACTCGTACCCCATAAGTGCCTCTACTCGCGCCCCACAGTGCCTCTACTCGTGCCCCACAGTGCCTCTACTCGTGCACCATAGTGCCTCTACTCGTGCCCCATAAGTGCCTTTACTCGTGCCCCACAGTGCCTCTACTCGCGCCCCACAGTGCCTCTACTCGAGCCCCACAGTGCCTCTACTCGCGCCCCATAGTGCCTCTACTCCTGCCCCATAGTGCCTCTACTCGCGCCCCATAGTGCCTCTACTCCTGCCCCATAGTGCCTCTACTCCTGCCCCATAGTGCCTCTACTCGTGCCCCACAGGCCTCTACTCGTGCCCCATAGTGCCTCTACTCGTGCCCCACAGTGCCTCTACTCGCGCCCCATAGTGCCTCTACTCGTGCCCCATAAGTGCCTCTACTCGTGCCCCACAGTGCCTCTACTCGCGCCCCATAAGTGCCTCTACTCGTGCCCCACAGTGCCTCTACTCGCGCCCCATAGTGTCTCTACTCCTGCCCCACAGTGCCTCCACTCGTGCCCCATAAGTGCCTTTACTCGTGCCCCACAGTGCCTCCACTCGTGCCCCATAAGTGCCTCTACTCGTGCCCCACAGTGCCTCTTCTCGCGCCCCATAGTGCCTCTACTCGTGCCCCATAAGTGCCTCTACTCGTGCCCCACAGTGCCTCTACTCGCGCCCCATAGTGTCTCTACTCCTGCCCCACAGTGCCTCCACTCGTGCCCCATAAGTGCCTCTACTCGTGCCCCACAGTGCCTCTACTCGTGCCCCATAGTGTCTCTACTCCTGCCCCACAGTGCCTCCACTCGTGCCCCATAAGTGCCTCTACTCGTGCCCCACAGTGCCTCTACTTGTTCCCCATAGTGTCTCTACTCCTGCCCCATAGTGCCTCTACTCGTGCCCCACAGGCCTCTACTCGTGCCCCATAAGTGCCTTTACTCGTGCCCCACAGTGCCTCCACTCGTGCCCCATAGTGCCTCTACTCGTGCCCCATAGTGCCTCTACTCCTGCCCCACAGGCCTCTACTCGTGATCAGTATTAGCAGAGATTGAGTAAGATTAATGATGTTTTCTCGTCTTCAGGTGATCAGAGCCGCGGGCCGCATGAGCAGTCAGGCGCTGTGTGTCGTGACAAGTTACAGAAACATCTCTAGTGTTAAACTACAGCGACTGCATACACAGCTCACACACATTATCCAGTCAGCGCTGAGCTTCTCCAGAGAGCTGGTCAGTAAACACACACACACACACATACACACACAAACACACACACACACACACACACACATTATCCAGTGCTGAGCTTCTCCAGAGAGATGGTCAGTTACACACACACACACACACACACACACACACACACACACACACCTCCGTCTGCCTCTGAATCACTGCTCTTCTTCTCCTCATCTTCTCCTCTTCTTCTCCAGGACCCGCAGACTGATGTCAGTGTGGCCGATCTCTTCGCGTCTCTGGGCGATCTCACGGACACGAACGTCCTCAATCTGGCGTTTGTGGAGAACTGGCTCTATCTGAAGTTTCTGCCGGTTCTGCCATATATGACTAAGGAGAGCGTGACACGACTGAGCCAGATGAGCTTCACCTGTGAATCCTTCCAGCTCATGTACATGACATTTTACACCACACACACACACACACACACACACACACACACACACACACACACACACACACAGGCTGCAGATTGGAATATTTAAGATCTCACTTACCCCAAACTTTTGAATGGCAGTGTACGATGATCTGCACATTAATCTGAAGCAGCACAACTGTTTTCAACCTTCATAATAATCAGAAATGTTTCAAATCAGCATAATAAATGACATTTTACAATATATTCATGCAGAAAACAGCTATAAATTACAGCTTTAAAGTACATATTAGATTTTTATTTAACATTATAGCTGTTTTACTGTATTTTTGATCAAATAAATGCAGCCTTGGTGAGCAGAAAAGACTTCTTTGAGAAGCATTAGAAAAAGCTTTATCATTCTAAACTTTTGACCTGCAGTGTATACTGAGATATGAGCATTATTTGTATTGTAATACAGTGAGTGCCAATGCATTAATGTGTTTTTCTTTATCTCTGAATGGACAGAGTGAAAGTCCTGAGCAGGGAGGAATCGCTGATCACAGACAGTCAACAGGAACTGATCTTCACTCATCTCCTTCACTCTTACCTGTCCAGGACAGACACAGCAGGTAACACAGTGACGCACACAAACACGTGTTGGAGGGGTTTATGGAGGATTGCATGTCACTGTGCCAAATGTTCAATTTCAGATCCAGGTTGCTTTTCAAAGATCACCAGAATCAACGAATGGCTGCAGAGGAATCTGGGGATCTTCTCTAAATATGCGACTGCCAGTCAACTGAAAATGCTCTACAGCCATTTCACTGTGAGTGAGCCGAGTTCTGCAATGAAGAACATCCGCTGTGATGCTCGTGGGCTTCGGCTAACGCCTCTTGTACTTTGCAGCTGGATCTGTTAGGGTCACTGAGTCCGTCTGAAGTGGCAGAGTTTGCTGTGACGTCCGGAGCGCTAAACAGCGTCAATCTGACCAACATCATATTTGACCGTCTGGAGGAAGGTGATGCTTTCCAGAACATTGATGCATTTTTCTGGACTCTAATTCAATCTGAGGTAAAAATCACCTCACTAAAGTCCTACTAGGACAGAATGTCATTAATTCTGTTGATCGAATTTAACCCTTGTGCATGCTTATTTGACTTTTTCGGTTTTGTTTTTTGGTCATTTTGGCTGCGTTAATGCTATCTGCATAATATTTGGCATGGGGTGTATTTTTATTGTAAATTCAATAAACTTTTTAATGCAGCAAATAAACTAAATTTACACAATTATGATAATAGCAGGAAACAACATATTACTTGCTAACATGTTACATACAGTTTTTTATGTTAAGTGTAAGTTGGTGAACCCTTTGAGCATACACTATTCATCTTGAGGTCTAGTCTAAATTTAACTAGACATATAGAAACAAATTAAGACTACACAGAAAAAAATACAAAGGCTAAACTAATAAGAGAAAAAAAAACATTTCCGTTTTTCCTTTTTATCAAAAACATTGTGTGATCATTCACATTGCAGGGTGGAAAAAGTAACTGAACCCTGACATTTTGTAACTTGTAGATACTCCTTTATCATCAATATCCTTATCCAAACATTTTATGTGGCTGCTAATGCCAAGACTTTTGACCAATTTTGGACCATCTTTCCCCACAAATCTATTTCAGTTTATCAACATTCTGGGTTGTCTTGATCGCACAGCCTTCTCCATCACACACTGCTGCAGAATTATTAGGACATTCGTTTTAAACAAAGAAATTAATACAGATTCTCAGCTATAATGCATCAGGTCTTCAACACAAACTATAATGCATGTCTGGTAGCTTTCTGCATATCCTTAACATGTTTTTTTAGAGGTTGAATTCAAATAAAATATTGCCATGTTGCCTGAAAAAATTCTATTTACAGCGAGTGTAAGTTCGAATTAGCCTACATACGCAGAGAGTTGCCAATTTATTTTCTCATAACAGAGGTGGAAAAAGAAAAGAGCTCCGAATGTCTTTCAGGATGCAATGTCTGAAATTTGCCTGTCTGTTTGTTTGTCATTTCCTCTAGGCCTTGGACATCGATCCTCTAGTGAGGGACATCATGATGAATCGAGCCTTTTCCATCATCAGCCTTCATTTTGAAGGCTTCGAAACCTCCGACTGGGTTTCCTGGTTCACTGTGAAACTGACTCCTCTCTTGCCCAGCTTGACTGCACAGATGCTACAGACAACAACATCATACGCAGATTGCAACGCATACCACGTCATGTACGTAGCGCTCCCCAAATGCTGCACAGCTCTGTGAAGCAGGCCTCATGGCATTGTCTTTAAAAGCCCGAGGCCATTTTACTAGAGCAAGTGTATTGAGTGGTGGCGAAACGAAGTTAAAAAGGCACCACCCTTACCTTCCTTTTGATTTGATCTTTCCAATATAGCGTTGGGGCTCTGAGCAGAATCTTTGACAAGATTGATTCGCCGAGGCAACTCACCCCAGTCCTGGTTCAATACCTGAAGCAAAGCCAGGCAAACGGTAGGTCCAGTAGATGCGGCCCTTTGCTCTTCATCTTGTGTGCTAGGAGAAACAGAGTTTCTATGTGTCTGCCAACATCTGTCTCTCCTAACGAGTCTTTCCTGTGCGCTGTCATTTCAGACTTGAGCTGTGGGTCCAACACCAGCAGCCTCAGCACTTGGCTCGAGCAAAGCTTTGGCAAGTTCTCCATCTACGTGGATTACGAAGACCTGCGCCTGCTCAACGAGGGCTTTGTCAGCGTAAGTGGCCCGTCGCGCTATGCAGCCGTTCCCGTGACCGTTTTTGTGCAAGCATGTTGTTTATACGAACGTTGTTGTTGATTTTTATCCCTTGCAGTTTGATGCGCTGGACATTCTGAGCGCTTCTCAGGTGGCTCAACTGACACTGACATCCGGTGCGCTGAACAACGTAGGCCTGATCAGCTTGGTCCTTGACCGCCTGGACGGCGTCAACGCTTTCCAGGACATTGACGGGTTCTTGACAGTTCTCAGCGTGACACCTCAGGTATGTTCTCATCGATGAGATGGCAAGCCTGAGGAATTGTTATTCTCTGTGTGGCAATACATTAAAAAAAAAAAGCCCCCAAAGGCTTTCGGGACTCGACGTCTGATGGAAATTTGCCTTTCTCTTTGTTTGTCATTTCCTCTAGGCCTTGGACATCGATCCTCTAGTGAGGGACATCATGATGAATCGAGCCTTTTCCATCATCAGCCTTCATTTTGAAGGCTTCGAAACCTCCGACTGGGTTTCCTGGTTCACTGTGAAACTGACTCCTCTCTTGCCCAGCTTGACTGCACAGATGCTACAGACAACAACATCATACGCAGATTGCAACGCATACCACGTCATGTACGTAGCGCTCCCCAAATGCTGCACAGCTCTGTGAAGCAGGCCTCATGGCATTGTCTTTAAAAGCCCGAGGCCATTTTACTAGAGCAAGTGTATTGAGTGGTGGCGAAACGAAGTTAAAAAGGCACCACCCTTACCTTCCTTTTGATTTGATCTTTCCAATATAGCGTTGGGGCTCTGAGCAGAATCTTTGACAAGATTGATTCGCCGAGGCAACTCACCCCAGTCCTGGTTCAATACCTGAAGCAAAGCCAGGCAAACGGTAGGTCCAGTAGAGGCGGCCCTTTGCTCTTCATCTTGTGTGCTAGGAGAAACAGAGTTTCTATGTGTCTGCCAACATCTGTCTCTCCTAACGAGTCTTTCCTGTGCGCTGTCATTTCAGACTTGAGCTGTGGGTCCAACACCAGCAGCCTCAGCACTTGGCTCGAGCAAAGCTTTGGCAAGTTCTCCATCTACGTGGATTACGAAGACCTGCGCCTGCTCAACGAGGGCTTTGTCAGCGTAAGTGGCCCGTCGCGCTATGCAGCCGTTCCCGTGACCGTTTTTGTGCAAGCATGTTGTTTATACGAACGTTGTTGTTGATTTTTATCCCTTGCAGTTTGATGCGCTGGACATTCTGAGCGCTTCTCAGGTGGCTCAACTGACACTGACATCCGGTGCGCTGAACAACGTAGGCCTGATCAGCTTGGTCCTTGACCGCCTGGACGGCGTCAACGCTTTCCAGGACATTGACGGGTTCTTGACAGTTCTCAGCGTGACACCTCAGGTATGTTCTCATCGATGAGATGGCAAGCCTGAGGAATTGTTATTCTCTGTGTGGCAATACATTAAAAAAAGAAAAGCCCCCAAAGGCTTTCGGGACTCGACGTCTGATGGAAATTTGCCTTTCTCTTTGTTTGTCATTTCCTCTAGGCCTTGGACATCGATCCTCTAGTGAGGGACATCATGATGAATCGAGCCTTTTCCATCATCAGCCTTCATTTTGAAGGCTTCGAAACCTCCGACTGGGTTTCCTGGTTCACTGTGAAACTGACTCCTCTCTTGCCCAGCTTGACTGCACAGATGCTACAGACAACAACATCATACGCAGATTGCAACGCATACCACGTCATGTACGTAGCGCTCCCCAAATGCTGCACAGCTCTGTGAAGCAGGCCTCATGGCATTGTCTTTAAAAGCCCGAGGCCATTTTACTAGAGCAAGTGTATTGAGTGGTGGCGAAACGAAGTTAAAAAGGCACCACCCTTACCTTCCTTTTGATTTGATCTTTCCAATATAGCGTTGGGGCTCTGAGCAGAATCTTTGACAAGATTGATTCGCCGAGGCAACTCACCCCAGTCCTGGTTCAATACCTGAAGCAAAGCCAGGCAAACGGTAGGTCCAGTAGAGGCGGCCCTTTGCTCTTCATCTTGTGTGCTAGGAGAAACAGAGTTTCTATGTGTCTGCCAACATCTGTCTCTCCTAACGAGTCTTTCCTGTGCGCTGTCATTTCAGACTTGAGCTGTGGGTCCAACACCGGCAGCCTCAGCACTTGGCTCGAGCAAAGCTTTGGCAAGTTCTCCATCTACGTGGATTACGAAGACCTGCGCCTGCTCAACGAGGGCTTTGTCAGCGTAAGTGGCCCGTCGCGCTATGCAGCCGTTCCCGTGACCGTTTTTGTGCAAGCATGTTGTTTATACGAACGTTGTTGTTGATTTTTATCCCTTGCAGTTTGATGCGCTGGACATTCTGAGCGCTTCTCAGGTGGCTCAACTGACACTGACATCCGGTGCGCTGAACAACGTAGGCCTGATCAGCTTGGTCCTTGACCGCCTGGACGGCGTCAACGCTTTCCAGGACATTGACGGGTTCTTGACAGTTCTCAGCGTGACACCTCAGGTATGTTCTCATCGATGAGATGGCAAGCCTGAGGAATTGTTATTCTCTGTGTGGCAATACATTAAAAAAAAAAAGCCCCCAAAGGCTTTCGGGACTCGACGTCTGATGGAAATTTGCCTTTCTCTTTGTTTGTCATTTCCTCTAGGCCTTGGACATCGATCCTCTAGTGAGGGACATCATGATGAATCGAGCCTTTTCCATCATCAGCCTTCATTTTGAAGGCTTCGAAACCTCCGACTGGGTTTCCTGGTTCACTGTGAAACTGACTCCTCTCTTGCCCAGCTTGACTGCACAGATGCTACAGACAACAACATCATACGCAGATTGCAACGCATACCACGTCATGTACGTAGCGCTCCCCAAATGCTGCACAGCTCTGTGAAGCAGGCCTCATGGCATTGTCTTTAAAAGCCCGAGGCCATTTTACTAGAGCAAGTGTATTGAGTGGTGGCGAAACGAAGTTAAAAAGGCACCACCCTTACCTTCCTTTTGATTTGATCTTTCCAATATAGCGTTGGGGCTCTGAGCAGAATCTTTGACAAGATTGATTCGCCGAGGCAACTCACCCCAGTCCTGGTTCAATACCTGAAGCAAAGCCAGGCAAACGGTAGGTCCAGTAGAGGCGGCCCTTTGCTCTTCATCTTGTGTGCTAGGAGAAACAGAGTTTCTATGTGTCTGCCAACATCTGTCTCTCCTAACGAGTCTTTCCTGTGCGCTGTCATTTCAGACTTGAGCTGTGGGTCCAACACCGGCAGCCTCAGCACTTGGCTCGAGCAAAGCTTTGGCAAGTTCTCCATCTACGTGGATTACGAAGACCTGCGCCTGCTCAACGAGGGCTTTGTCAGCGTAAGTGGCCCGTCGCGCTATGCAGCCGTTCCCGTGACCGTTTTTGTGCAAGCATGTTGTTTATACGAACGTTGTTGTTGATTTTTATCCCTTGCAGTTTGATGCGCTGGACATTCTGAGCGCTTCTCAGGTGGCTCAACTGACACTGACATCCGGTGCGCTGAACAACGTAGGCCTGATCAGCTTGGTCCTTGACCGCCTGGACGGCGTCAACGCTTTCCAGGACATTGACGGGTTCTTGACAGTTCTCAGCGTGACACCTCAGGTATGTTCTCATCGATGAGATGGCAAGCCTGAGGAATTGTTATTCTCTGTGTGGCAATACATTAAAAAAAAAAGCCCCCAAAGGCTTTCGGGACTCGACGTCTGATGGAAATTTGCCTTTCTCTTTGTTTGTCATTTCCTCTAGGCCTTGGACATCGATCCTCTAGTGAGGGACATCATGATGAATCGAGCCTTTTCCATCATCAGCCTTCATTTTGAAGGCTTCGAAACCTCCGACTGGGTTTCCTGGTTCACTGTGAAACTGACTCCTCTCTTGCCCAGCTTGACTGCACAGATGCTACAGACAACAACATCATACGCAGATTGCAACGCATACCACGTCATGTACGTAGCGCTCCCCAAATGCTGCACAGCTCTGTGAAGCAGGCCTCATGGCATTGTCTTTAAAAGCCCGAGGCCATTTTACTAGAGCAAGTGTATTGAGTGGTGGCGAAACGAAGTTAAAAAGGCACCACCCTTACCTTCCTTTTGATTTGATCTTTCCAATATAGCGTTGGGGCTCTGAGCAGAATCTTTGACAAGATTGATTCGCCGAGGCAACTCACCCCAGTCCTGGTTCAATACCTGAAGCAAAGCCAGGCAAACGGTAGGTCCAGTAGAGGCGGCCCTTTGCTCTTCATCTTGTGTGCTAGGAGAAACAGAGTTTCTATGTGTCTGCCAACATCTGTCTCTCCTAACGAGTCTTTCCTGTGCGCTGTCATTTCAGACTTGAGCTGTGGGTCCAACACCGGCAGCCTCAGCACTTGGCTCGAGCAAAGCTTTGGCAAGTTCTCCATCTACGTGGATTACGAAGACCTGCGCCTGCTCAACGAGGGCTTTGTCAGCGTAAGTGGCCCGTCGCGCTATGCAGCCGTTCCCGTGACCGTTTTTGTGCAAGCATGTTGTTTATACGAACGTTGTTGTTGATTTTTATCCCTTGCAGTTTGATGCGCTGGACATTCTGAGCGCTTCTCAGGTGGCTCAACTGACACTGACATCCGGTGCGCTGAACAACGTAGGCCTGATCAGCTTGGTCCTTGACCGCCTGGACGGCGTCAACGCTTTCCAGGACATTGACGGGTTCTTGACAGTTCTCAGCGTGACACCTCAGGTATGTTCTCATCGATGAGATGGCAAGCCTGAGGAATTGTTATTCTCTGTGTGGCAATACATTAAAAAAAAAAGCCCCCAAAGGCTTTCGGGACTCGACGTCTGATGGAAATTTGCCTTTCTCTTTGTTTGTCATTTCCTCTAGGCCTTGGACATCGATCCTCTAGTGAGGGACATCATGATGAATCGAGCCTTTTCCATCATCAGCCTTCATTTTGAAGGCTTCGAAACCTCCGACTGGGTTTCCTGGTTCACTGTGAAACTGACTCCTCTCTTGCCCAGCTTGACTGCACAGATGCTACAGACAACAACATCATACGCAGATTGCAACGCATACCACGTCATGTACGTAGCGCTCCCCAAATGCTGCACAGCTCTGTGAAGCAGGCCTCATGGCATTGTCTTTAAAAGCCCGAGGCCATTTTACTAGAGCAAGTGTATTGAGTGGTGGCGAAACGAAGTTAAAAAGGCACCACCCTTACCTTCCTTTTGATTTGATCTTTCCAATATAGCGTTGGGGCTCTGAGCAGAATCTTTGACAAGATTGATTCGCCGAGGCAACTCACCCCAGTCCTGGTTCAATACCTGAAGCAAAGCCAGGCAAACGGTAGGTCCAGTAGAGGCGGCCCTTTGCTCTTCATCTTGTGTGCTAGGAGAAACAGAGTTTCTATGTGTCTGCCAACATCTGTCTCTCCTAACGAGTCTTTCCTGTGCGCTGTCATTTCAGACTTGAGCTGTGGGTCCAACACCGGCAGCCTCAGCACTTGGCTCGAGCAAAGCTTTGGCAAGTTCTCCATCTACGTGGATTACGAAGACCTGCGCCTGCTCAACGAGGGCTTTGTCAGCGTAAGTGGCCCGTCGCGCTATGCAGCCGTTCCCGTGACCGTTTTTGTGCAAGCATGTTGTTTATACGAACGTTGTTGTTGATTTTTATCCCTTGCAGTTTGATGCGCTGGACATTCTGAGCGCTTCTCAGGTGGCTCAACTGACACTGACATCCGGTGCGCTGAACAACGTAGGCCTGATCAGCTTGGTCCTTGACCGCCTGGACGGCGTCAACGCTTTCCAGGACATTGACGGGTTCTTGACAGTTCTCAGCGTGACACCTCAGGTATGTTCTCATCGATGAGATGGCAAGCCTGAGGAATTGTTATTCTCTGTGTGGCAATACATTAAAAAAAAAAAGCCCCCAAAGGCTTTCGGGACTCGACGTCTGATGGAAATTTGCCTTTCTCTTTGTTTGTCATTTCCTCTAGGCCTTGGACATCGATCCTCTAGTGAGGGACATCATGATGAATCGAGCCTTTTCCATCATCAGCCTTCATTTTGAAGGCTTCGAAACCTCCGACTGGGTTTCCTGGTTCACTGTGAAACTGACTCCTCTCTTGCCCAGCTTGACTGCACAGATGCTACAGACAACAACATCATACGCAGATTGCAACGCATACCACGTCATGTACGTAGCGCTCCCCAAATGCTGCACAGCTCTGTGAAGCAGGCCTCATGGCATTGTCTTTAAAAGCCCGAGGCCATTTTACTAGAGCAAGTGTATTGAGTGGTGGCGAAACGAAGTTAAAAAGGCACCACCCTTACCTTCCTTTTGATTTGATCTTTCCAATATAGCGTTGGGGCTCTGAGCAGAATCTTTGACAAGATTGATTCGCCGAGGCAACTCACCCCAGTCCTGGTTCAATACCTGAAGCAAAGCCAGGCAAACGGTAGGTCCAGTAGAGGCGGCCCTTTGCTCTTCATCTTGTGTGCTAGGAGAAACAGAGTTTCTATGTGTCTGCCAACATCTGTCTCTCCTAACGAGTCTTTCCTGTGCGCTGTCATTTCAGACTTGAGCTGTGGGTCCAACACCGGCAGCCTCAGCACTTGGCTCGAGCAAAGCTTTGGCAAGTTCTCCATCTACGTGGATTACGAAGACCTGCGCCTGCTCAACGAGGGCTTTGTCAGCGTAAGTGGCCCGTCGCGCTATGCAGCCGTTCCCGTGACCGTTTTTGTGCAAGCATGTTGTTTATACGAACGTTGTTGTTGATTTTTATCCCTTGCAGTTTGATGCGCTGGACATTCTGAGCGCTTCTCAGGTGGCTCAACTGACACTGACATCCGGTGCGCTGAACAACGTAGGCCTGATCAGCTTGGTCCTTGACCGCCTGGACGGCGTCAACGCTTTCCAGGACATTGACGGGTTCTTGACAGTTCTCAGCGTGACACCTCAGGTATGTTCTCATCGATGAGATGGCAAGCCTGAGGAATTGTTATTCTCTGTGTGGCAATACATTAAAAAAAAAAAGCCCCCAAAGGCTTTCGGGACTCGACGTCTGATGGAAATTTGCCTTTCTCTTTGTTTGTCATTTCCTCTAGGCCTTGGACATCGATCCTCTAGTGAGGGACATCATGATGAATCGAGCCTTTTCCATCATCAGCCTTCATTTTGAAGGCTTCGAAACCTCCGACTGGGTTTCCTGGTTCACTGTGAAACTGACTCCTCTCTTGCCCAGCTTGACTGCACAGATGCTACAGACAACAACATCATACGCAGATTGCAACGCATACCACGTCATGTACGTAGCGCTCCCCAAATGCTGCACAGCTCTGTGAAGCAGGCCTCATGGCATTGTCTTTAAAAGCCCGAGGCCATTTTACTAGAGCAAGTGTATTGAGTGGTGGCGAAACGAAGTTAAAAAGGCACCACCCTTACCTTCCTTTTGATTTGATCTTTCCAATATAGCGTTGGGGCTCTGAGCAGAATCTTTGACAAGATTGATTCGCCGAGGCAACTCACCCCAGTCCTGGTTCAATACCTGAAGCAAAGCCAGGCAAACGGTAGGTCCAGTAGAGGCGGCCCTTTGCTCTTCATCTTGTGTGCTAGGAGAAACAGAGTTTCTATGTGTCTGCCAACATCTGTCTCTCCTAACGAGTCTTTCCTGTGCGCTGTCATTTCAGACTTGAGCTGTGGGTCCAACACCGGCAGCCTCAGCACTTGGCTCGAGCAAAGCTTTGGCAAGTTCTCCATCTACGTGGATTACGAAGACCTGCGCCTGCTCAACGAGGGCTTTGTCAGCGTAAGTGGCCCGTCGCGCTATGCAGCCGTTCCCGTGACCGTTTTTGTGCAAGCATGTTGTTTATACGAACGTTGTTGTTGATTTTTATCCCTTGCAGTTTGATGCGCTGGACATTCTGAGCGCTTCTCAGGTGGCTCAACTGACACTGACATCCGGTGCGCTGAACAACGTAGGCCTGATCAGCTTGGTCCTTGACCGCCTGGACGGCGTCAACGCTTTCCAGGACATTGACGGGTTCTTGACAGTTCTCAGCGTGACACCTCAGGTATGTTCTCATCGATGAGATGGCAAGCCTGAGGAATTGTTATTCTCTGTGTGGCAATACATTAAAAAAAGAAAAGCCCCCAAAGGCTTTCGGGACTCGACGTCTGATGGAAATTTGCCTTTCTCTTTGTTTGTCATTTCCTCTAGGCCTTGGACATCGATCCTCTAGTGAGGGACATCATGATGAATCGAGCCTTTTCCATCATCAGCCTTCATTTTGAAGGCTTCGAAACCTCCGACTGGGTTTCCTGGTTCACTGTGAAACTGACTCCTCTCTTGCCCAGCTTGACTGCACAGATGCTACAGACAACAACATCATACGCAGATTGCAACGCATACCACGTCATGTACGTAGCGCTCCCCAAATGCTGCACAGCTCTGTGAAGCAGGCCTCATGGCATTGTCTTTAAAAGCCCGAGGCCATTTTACTAGAGCAAGTGTATTGAGTGGTGGCGAAACGAAGTTAAAAAGGCACCACCCTTACCTTCCTTTTGATTTGATCTTTCCAATATAGCGTTGGGGCTCTGAGCAGAATCTTTGACAAGATTGATTCGCCGAGGCAACTCACCCCAGTCCTGGTTCAATACCTGAAGCAAAGCCAGGCAAACGGTAGGTCCAGTAGAGGCGGCCCTTTGCTCTTCATCTTGTGTGCTAGGAGAAACAGAGTTTCTATGTGTCTGCCAACATCTGTCTCTCCTAACGAGTCTTTCCTGTGCGCTGTCATTTCAGACTTGAGCTGTGGGTCCAACACCGGCAGCCTCAGCACTTGGCTCGAGCAAAGCTTTGGCAAGTTCTCCATCTACGTGGATTACGAAGACCTGCGCCTGCTCAACGAGGGCTTTGTCAGCGTAAGTGGCCCGTCGCGCTATGCAGCCGTTCCCGTGACCGTTTTTGTGCAAGCATGTTGTTTATACGAACGTTGTTGTTGATTTTTATCCCTTGCAGTTTGATGCGCTGGACATTCTGAGCGCTTCTCAGGTGGCTCAACTGACACTGACATCCGGTGCGCTGAACAACGTAGGCCTGATCAGCTTGGTCCTTGACCGCCTGGACGGCGTCAACGCTTTCCAGGACATTGACGGGTTCTTGACAGTTCTCAGCGTGACACCTCAGGTATGTTCTCATCGATGAGATGGCAAGCCTGAGGAATTGTTATTCTCTGTGTGGCAATACATTAAAAAAAAAAAGCCCCCAAAGGCTTTCGGGACTCGACGTCTGATGGAAATTTGCCTTTCTCTTTGTTTGTCATTTCCTCTAGGCCTTGGACATCGATCCTCTAGTGAGGGACATCATGATGAATCGAGCCTTTTCCATCATCAGCCTTCATTTTGAAGGCTTCGAAACCTCCGACTGGGTTTCCTGGTTCACTGTGAAACTGACTCCTCTCTTGCCCAGCTTGACTGCACAGATGCTACAGACAACAACATCATACGCAGATTGCAACGCATACCACGTCATGTACGTAGCGCTCCCCAAATGCTGCACAGCTCTGTGAAGCAGGCCTCATGGCATTGTCTTTAAAAGCCCGAGGCCATTTTACTAGAGCAAGTGTATTGAGTGGTGGCGAAACGAAGTTAAAAAGGCACCACCCTTACCTTCCTTTTGATTTGATCTTTCCAATATAGCGTTGGGGCTCTGAGCAGAATCTTTGACAAGATTGATTCGCCGAGGCAACTCACCCCAGTCCTGGTTCAATACCTGAAGCAAAGCCAGGCAAACGGTAGGTCCAGTAGAGGCGGCCCTTTGCTCTTCATCTTGTGTGCTAGGAGAAACAGAGTTTCTATGTGTCTGCCAACATCTGTCTCTCCTAACGAGTCTTTCCTGTGCGCTGTCATTTCAGACTTGAGCTGTGGGTCCAACACCGGCAGCCTCAGCACTTGGCTCGAGCAAAGCTTTGGCAAGTTCTCCATCTACGTGGATTACGAAGACCTGCGCCTGCTCAACGAGGGCTTTGTCAGCGTAAGTGGCCCGTCGCGCTATGCAGCCGTTCCCGTGACCGTTTTTGTGCAAGCATGTTGTTTATACGAACGTTGTTGTTGATTTTTATCCCTTGCAGTTTGATGCGCTGGACATTCTGAGCGCTTCTCAGGTGGCTCAACTGACACTGACATCCGGTGCGCTGAACAACGTAGGCCTGATCAGCTTGGTCCTTGACCGCCTGGACGGCGTCAACGCTTTCCAGGACATTGACGGGTTCTTGACAGTTCTCAGCGTGACACCTCAGGTATGTTCTCATCGATGAGATGGCAAGCCTGAGGAATTGTTATTCTCTGTGTGGCAATACATTAAAAAAAAAAAGCCCCCAAAGGCTTTCGGGACTCGACGTCTGATGGAAATTTGCCTTTCTCTTTGTTTGTCATTTCCTCTAGGCCTTGGACATCGATCCTCTAGTGAGGGACATCATGATGAATCGAGCCTTTTCCATCATCAGCCTTCATTTTGAAGGCTTCGAAACCTCCGACTGGGTTTCCTGGTTCACTGTGAAACTGACTCCTCTCTTGCCCAGCTTGACTGCACAGATGCTACAGACAACAACATCATACGCAGATTGCAACGCATACCACGTCATGTACGTAGCGCTCCCCAAATGCTGCACAGCTCTGTGAAGCAGGCCTCATGGCATTGTCTTTAAAAGCCCGAGGCCATTTTACTAGAGCAAGTGTATTGAGTGGTGGCGAAACGAAGTTAAAAAGGCACCACCCTTACCTTCCTTTTGATTTGATCTTTCCAATATAGCGTTGGGGCTCTGAGCAGAATCTTTGACAAGATTGATTCGCCGAGGCAACTCACCCCAGTCCTGGTTCAATACCTGAAGCAAAGCCAGGCAAACGGTAGGTCCAGTAGAGGCGGCCCTTTGCTCTTCATCTTGTGTGCTAGGAGAAACAGAGTTTCTATGTGTCTGCCAACATCTGTCTCTCCTAACGAGTCTTTCCTGTGCGCTGTCATTTCAGACTTGAGCTGTGGGTCCAACACCGGCAGCCTCAGCACTTGGCTCGAGCAAAGCTTTGGCAAGTTCTCCATCTACGTGGATTACGAAGACCTGCGCCTGCTCAACGAGGGCTTTGTCAGCGTAAGTGGCCCGTCGCGCTATGCAGCCGTTCCCGTGACCGTTTTTGTGCAAGCATGTTGTTTATACGAACGTTGTTGTTGATTTTTATCCCTTGCAGTTTGATGCGCTGGACATTCTGAGCGCTTCTCAGGTGGCTCAACTGACACTGACATCCGGTGCGCTGAACAACGTAGGCCTGATCAGCTTGGTCCTTGACCGCCTGGACGGCGTCAACGCTTTCCAGGACATTGACGGGTTCTTGACAGTTCTCAGCGTGACACCTCAGGTATGTTCTCATCGATGAGATGGCAAGCCTGAGGAATTGTTATTCTCTGTGTGGCAATACATTAAAAAAAAAAAGCCCCCAAAGGCTTTCGGGACTCGACGTCTGATGGAAATTTGCCTTTCTCTTTGTTTGTCATTTCCTCTAGGCCTTGGACATCGATCCTCTAGTGAGGGACATCATGATGAATCGAGCCTTTTCCATCATCAGCCTTCATTTTGAAGGCTTCGAAACCTCCGACTGGGTTTCCTGGTTCACTGTGAAACTGACTCCTCTCTTGCCCAGCTTGACTGCACAGATGCTACAGACAACAACATCATACGCAGATTGCAACGCATACCACGTCATGTACGTAGCGCTCCCCAAATGCTGCACAGCTCTGTGAAGCAGGCCTCATGGCATTGTCTTTAAAAGCCCGAGGCCATTTTACTAGAGCAAGTGTATTGAGTGGTGGCGAAACGAAGTTAAAAAGGCACCACCCTTACCTTCCTTTTGATTTGATCTTTCCAATATAGCGTTGGGGCTCTGAGCAGAATCTTTGACAAGATTGATTCGCCGAGGCAACTCACCCCAGTCCTGGTTCAATACCTGAAGCAAAGCCAGGCAAACGGTAGGTCCAGTAGAGGCGGCCCTTTGCTCTTCATCTTGTGTGCTAGGAGAAACAGAGTTTCTATGTGTCTGCCAACATCTGTCTCTCCTAACGAGTCTTTCCTGTGCGCTGTCATTTCAGACTTGAGCTGTGGGTCCAACACCGGCAGCCTCAGCACTTGGCTCGAGCAAAGCTTTGGCAAGTTCTCCATCTACGTGGATTACGAAGACCTGCGCCTGCTCAACGAGGGCTTTGTCAGCGTAAGTGGCCCGTCGCGCTATGCAGCCGTTCCCGTGACCGTTTTTGTGCAAGCATGTTGTTTATACGAACGTTGTTGTTGATTTTTATCCCTTGCAGTTTGATGCGCTGGACATTCTGAGCGCTTCTCAGGTGGCTCAACTGACACTGACATCCGGTGCGCTGAACAACGTAGGCCTGATCAGCTTGGTCCTTGACCGCCTGGACGGCGTCAACGCTTTCCAGGACATTGACGGGTTCTTGACAGTTCTCAGCGTGACACCTCAGGTATGTTCTCATCGATGAGATGGCAAGCCTGAGGAATTGTTATTCTCTGTGTGGCAATACATTAAAAAAAAAGCCCCCAAAGGCTTTCGGGACTCGACGTCTGATGGAAATTTGCCTTTCTCTTTGTTTGTCATTTCCTCTAGGCCTTGGACATCGATCCTCTAGTGAGGGACATCATGATGAATCGAGCCTTTTCCATCATCAGCCTTCATTTTGAAGGCTTCGAAACCTCCGACTGGGTTTCCTGGTTCACTGTGAAACTGACTCCTCTCTTGCCCAGCTTGACTGCACAGATGCTACAGACAACAACATCATACGCAGATTGCAACGCATACCACGTCATGTACGTAGCGCTCCCCAAATGCTGCACAGCTCTGTGAAGCAGGCCTCATGGCATTGTCTTTAAAAGCCCGAGGCCATTTTACTAGAGCAAGTGTATTGAGTGGTGGCGAAACGAAGTTAAAAAGGCACCACCCTTACCTTCCTTTTGATTTGATCTTTCCAATATAGCGTTGGGGCTCTGAGCAGAATCTTTGACAAGATTGATTCGCCGAGGCAACTCACCCCAGTCCTGGTTCAATACCTGAAGCAAAGCCAGGCAAACGGTAGGTCCAGTAGAGGCGGCCCTTTGCTCTTCATCTTGTGTGCTAGGAGAAACAGAGTTTCTATGTGTCTGCCAACATCTGTCTCTCCTAACGAGTCTTTCCTGTGCGCTGTCATTTCAGACTTGAGCTGTGGGTCCAACACCGGCAGCCTCAGCACTTGGCTCGAGCAAAGCTTTGGCAAGTTCTCCATCTACGTGGATTACGAAGACCTGCGCGTGCTCAACGAGGGCTTTGTCAGCGTAAGTGGCCCGTCGCGCTATGCAGCCGTTCCCGTGACCGTTTTTGTGCAAGCATGTTGTTTATACGAACGTTGTTGTTGATTTTTATCCCTTGCAGTTTGATGCGCTGGACATTCTGAGCGCTTCTCAGGTGGCTCAACTGACACTGACATCCGGTGCGCTGAACAACGTAGGCCTGATCAGCTTGGTCCTTGACCGCCTGGACGGCGTCAACGCTTTCCAGGACATTGGCGGGTTCTTGACAGTTCTCAGCGTGACACCTCAGGTATGTTCTCATCGATGAGATGGCAAGCCTGAGGAATTGTTATTCTCTGTGTGGCAATACATTAAAAAAAAAGCCCCCAAAGGCTTTCGGGACTCGACGTCTGATGGAAATTTGCCTTTCTCTTTGTTTGTCATTTCCTCTAGGCCTTGGACATCGATCCTCTAGTGAGGGACATCATGATGAATCGAGCCTTTTCCATCATCAGCCTTCATTTTGAAGGCTTCGAAACCTCCGACTGGGTTTCCTGGTTCACTGTGAAACTGACTCCTCTCTTGCCCAGCTTGACTGCACAGATGCTACAGACAACAACATCATACGCAGATTGCAACGCATACCACGTCATGTACGTAGCGCTCCCCAAATGCTGCACAGCTCTGTGAAGCAGGCCTCATGACATTGTCTTTAAAATCCCGAGGCCATTTTACTAGAGCAAGTGTATTGAGTGGTGGCGAAACGAAGTTAAAAAGGCACCACCCTTACCTTCCTTTTGATTTGATCTTTCCAATATAGCGTTGGGGCTCTGAGCAGAATCTTTGACAAGATTGATTCGCCGAGGCAACTCACCCCAGTCCTGGTTCAATACCTGAAGCAAAGCCAGGCAAACGGTAGGTCCAGTAGAGGCGGCCCTTTGCTCTTCATCTTGTGTGCTAGGAGAAACAGAGTTTCTATGTGTCTGCCAACATCTGTCTCTCCTAACGAGTCTTTCCTGTGCGCTGTCATTTCAGACTTGAGCTGTGGGTCCAACACCGGCAGCCTCAGCACTTGGCTCGAGCAAAGCTTTGGCAAGTTCTCCATCTACGTGGATTACGAAGACCTGCGCGTGCTCAACGAGGGCTTTGTCAGCGTAAGTGGCCCGTCGCGCTATGCAGCCGTTCCCGTGACCGTTTTTGTGCAAGCATGTTGTTTATACGAACGTTGTTGTTGATTTTTATCCCTTGCAGTTTGATGCGCTGGACATTCTGAGCGCTTCTCAGGTGGCTCAACTGACACTGACATCCGGTGCGCTGAACAACGTAGGCCTGATCAGCTTGGTCCTTGACCGCCTGGACGGCGTCAACGCTTTCCAGGACATTGGCGGGTTCTTGACAGTTCTCAGCGTGACACCTCAGGTATGTTCTCATCGATGAGATGGCAAGCCTGAGGAATTGTTATTCTCTGTGTGGCAATAAATTAAAAAAAAAAAGCCCCAAAGGCTTTCGGGACTCGACGTCTGATGGAAATTTGCCTTTCTCTTTGTTTGTCATTTCCTCTAGGCCTTGGACATCGATCCTCTAGTGAGGGACATCATGATGAATCGAGCCTTTTCCATCATCAGTCTTCATTTTGAAGGCTTCGAAACCTCCGACTGGGTTTCCTGGTTCACTGTGAAACTGACTCCTCTCTTGCCCAGCTTGACTGCACAGATGCTACAGACAACAACATCATACGCAGATTGCAACGCATACCACGTCATGTACGTAGCGCTCCCCAAATGCTGCACAGCTCTGTGAAGCAGGCCTCATGACATTGTCTTTAAAATCCCGAGGCCATTTTACTAGAGCAAGTGTATTGAGTGGTGGCGAAACGAAGTTAAAAAGGCACCACCCTTACCTTCCTTTTGATTTGATCTTTCCAATATAGCGTTGGGGCTCTGAGCAGAATCTTTGACAAGATTGATTCGCCGAGGCAACTCACCCCAGTCCTGGTTCAATACCTGAAGCAAAGCCAGGCAAACGGTAGGTCCAGTAGAGGCGGCCCTTTGCTCTTCATCTTGTGTGCTAGGAAAACAGAGTTTCTATGTGTCTGCCAACATCTGTCTCTCCTAACGAGTCTTTCCTGTGCGCTGTCATTTCAGACTTGAGCTGTGGGTCCAACACCGGCAGCCTCAGCACTTGGCTCGAGCAAAGCTTTGGCAAGTTCTCCATCTACGTGGATTACGAAGACCTGCGCGTGCTCAACGAGGGCTTTGTCAGCGTAAGTGGCCCGTCGCGCTATGCAGCCGTTCCCGTGACCGTTTTTGTGCAAGCATGTTGTTTATACGAACGTTGTTGTTGATTTTTATCCCTTGCAGTTTGATGCGCTGGACATTCTGAGCACTTCTCAGGTGGCTCAACTGACACTGACATCCGGTGCGCTGAACAATGTAGGCCTGATCAGCTTGGTCCTTGACCGCCTGGACGGCGTCAACGCTTTCCAGGACATTGACCTTTTCTTGACAGTTCTCAGCGTGACACCTCAGGTATGTTCTCATCGATGAGATGGCAAGCCTGAGGAATTGTTATTCTCTGTGTGGCAATACATTAAAAAAAAAAAAGCCCCAAAGGCTTTCGGGACTCGACGTCTGATGGAAATTTGCCTTTCTCTTTGTTTGTCATTTCCTCTAGGCCTTGGACATCGATCCTCTAGTGAGGGACATCATGATGAATCGAGCCTTTTCCATCATCAGCCTTCATTTTGAAGGCTTCGAAACCTCCGACTGGGTTTCCTGGTTCACTGTGAAACTGACTCCTCTCTTGCCCAGCTTGACTGCACAGATGCTACAGACAACAACATCATACGCAGATTGCAACGCATACCACGTCATGTACGTAGCGCTCCCTAAAATGCTGCATAGCTGTTTTAATTCACCTTTATTTTTTTGTGCTTTATACAATAAAGATAGTTTTCTGGTGATATTCAGGAAAATAATGATTTATGACACAAGAAAAATTCAATTCACTTTTAAGCAGCTCTACAGAAGATGATAGTATCATTTTAATGTTGATTCCATTTTTCTCAATAACTATGAGTTAATTTACATGCAAATGCAATGATAATGGGATTTTGACAATACTGCTATTAAATTTTACCTCATGTAAACGCAATACTTAGATCAAACGAATACGATGAAGCTCATAATCCTAGTATCAATATTCAGATTAAACTATGCAGCATGTTCCAATTTAAAGTTTAGTTAACAGACATTTAAATTTTTTTAGTAATATTTTTACCATTCTGACCGAAGTCTGCATGAGCTCGGTTCTAGTCAAGTCAAGTTAAGTCAACTTAATTTATATATCGCTTTTAGCAATGTAGAATGTTCCAAAGCAGCCTTACAGTGATAATAGGAAAGTAAGAGATTGTTTTGGCTTTATGGCAGCTCTAGAATAAAGTTATTGTCCAGTTTAAGTTAGTTTTGATTGATTCACTTCCGTCGCAACAATCATTAGTTATCAACTTATGGGCCGCTAACACGACACCGTTTGAACAGAAAACTCTTAAGTTCTCTCTACGCAAACTTGTGAGAACACTGATGGCGTGCACATGCTTATTAAGAGTTCATTCCATAGGTATGCGCATTTGAATATATGTGTGCAGGAATGTAGTCCTTCACTAAAACACCAACCTTCAACAAACTACTCTTCAGGCCTTAAAAATTATAATACAGAATTGTATCGCTTTGGTGTAGCCACGTGAACCGGAATTATCCCGTCAAAGATTATCTGTACAGAGGTAAAGGGAAGGAGGCCTTCACAGGGGAGAGACTAGTGACACTTCAGGACTGCGTTGTGGTCTTGTCTAGACACAGGTCCTTCATTAGATCTAGACATGGCCTGGATCTGGTGGACTGCTACATGGGTGCATTAGTGTGTTTTTCACACAACTTGAATGAACTCTGTGACATTATTCTGATGTGTGTGTGTGTGTGTGTGAGAGAGAGAGAGAGAGAGAGAGAGAGAGAAAGAGACAGTGTGTCATTAAAAAAATAATATCATAGAGAATGTTTAAATACTAATATCAGCTTACGAGGGAAACGAAGGCGGAGTAGTGGTGCTTCGGGGTGCTAGAGATGATTCCGGAGAGGTCCGCGCCCCTTACCGATCAGAGCGCGCGCTGACACAGAGTAAAGCCTTTATACTCGACTCCACAGCACGAGCGCGGCAAAGCTTTTTCGTAACAGCCCGCGTCTATGGAGAGTTGCTAGACCACACTTTGCTGCAAAATAATTTTTGCTGCCGCTAAGGTGCGCTAGATTTCTAGGCTACATTTTTGTCTATGCTCTATAGATTTTAAACTATGCTAAAGTGGCACTATTCTTACCTTTCAATTGGATCTGTCCACTGTAGCATTGGGGCCCTGAGCAGCGTCTTTGACCAGATGACCTCACTGAGACAGGAGGAGATCAAAGCTGTTCTGGTGGACAACCTGAAACAGAATAATGTATCGGGTAGGTCTTGTAGAGAGGACATTCTTTATTTGAACGCAGTAAATTGGGTATAAATCTATAGGGAATGATTGTTTTTTTACTTTATCCCATAATGTCGATACTATAGACTGAAATTCATTTTTTTTCAGTTTTTAAAGTCGAGAATAAAAAAGTAATATTTCAGTAGATCAAGTGGGAAATCCAAATTTGTTTTAATATTAACTGTTTTTCTTTTTGTGACTTGTCCTTTTACCATTTGTGTCGGTATAATTGTTTTTGCATATTACTAATTTCTCATGATATTTTATTTCATATTCAGATTTGAATCCTGTTATTGAAGAATTCAGTGAATATTGTATTGTTAAAATGGCAAATTTTTACAGCAAGGTTTCATTTGTTAACATTAGCTGATGTATTTGACTAACATGAAATAACAATGAGCAATTCATTTGTTACAGTATTTATTAATCTGTTTATGTTAGTTAATAAAAACACATTTGTTCATTGTTTGGGTTAGGGTCATTCTCTTTCACAAAGAGGATTGTGATGGCTTATTTTAGTTGAAGTGTTTTATCAGGTAAACTTAAATGTACCTGTTTATTATATTTTGTACTATAGGTTGTGCTGTTCCCATACCAATGATGACCACAAATTTCATAACCTTGACTGTCCCTACTGATTCCTCAACAACTACTTCAAGCACTACAGGCCATGCTGATCCATCAAGCACAGATGCCAATAATGGTCCTTCAAGCACTACAGGCCATGCTGATCCATCAAGCACATATGCCAATAATGGTCCTTCAAGCACTACAGGCCATGCTGATCCATCAAGCACAGATGCCAATAATGGTCCTTCAAGCACTACAGGCCATGCTGATCCATCAAACACAGATGCCAATAATGGTCTTTCAAGCACTACAGGCCATGCTGATCCATCAAACACAGATGCCAATAATGGTCCTTCAAGCACTACAGGCCATGCTGATCCATCAAACACAGATGCCAATAATGGTCCTTCAAGCACTACAGGCCATGTTGATCCATCAAGCACAGATGCCAATAATGGTCCTTCAAGCACTACAGGCCATGTTGATGTTGATCGATCAAGCACAGATGCCAATAATGGTCCTTCAAGCACTACAGGCCATGCTGATCCATCAAGCACATATGCCAATAATGGTCCTTCAAGCACTACAGGCCATGCTGATCCATCAAACACAGATGCCAATAATGGTCCTTCAAGCACTACAGGCCATGTTGATCCATCAAGCACAGATGCCAATAATGGTCCTTCAAGCACTACAGGCCATGTTGATCGATCAAGCACAGATGCCAATAATGGTCCTTCAAGCACTACAGGCCATGCTGATCCATCAAGCACATATGCCAATAATGGTCCTTCAAGCACTACAGGCCATGCTGATCCATCAAACACAGATGCCAATAATGGTCCTTCAAGCACTACAGGCCATGTTGATCCATCAAGCACAGATGCCAATAATGGTCCTTCAAGCACTACAGGCCATGCTGATCCATCAAACACAGATGCCAATAATGGTCCTTCAAGCACTACAGGCCATGTTGATCGATCAAGCACAGATGCCAATAATGGTCCTTCAAGCACTACAGGCCATGTTGATCGATCAAGCACAGATGCCAATAATGGTCCTTCAAGCACTACAGGCCATGCTGATCCATCAAGCACATATGCCAATAATGGTCCTTCAAGCACTACAGGCCATGCTGATCCATCAAACACAGATGCCAATAATGGTCCTTCAAGCACTACAGGCCATGTTGATCCATCAAGCACAGATGCCAATAATGGTCCTTCAAGCACTACAGGCCATGCTGATCCATCAAGCACATATGCCAATAATGGTCTTTCAAGCACTACAGGCCATGCTGATCCATCAAACACAAATGCCAATAATGGTCTTTCAAGCACTACAGGCCATGCTGATCCATCAAACACAAATGCCAATAATGGTCTTTCAAGCACTACAGGCCATGCTGATCCATCAAACACAAATGCCAATAATGGTCTTTCAAGCACTACAGGCCATGCTGATCCATCAAACACAGATGCCAATAATGGTCCTTCAAGCACTACAGGCCATGCTGATCCATCAAACACAGATGCCAATAATGGTCCTTCAAGCACTACAGGCCATGCTGATCCATCAAGCACATATGCCAATAATGGTCTTTCAAGCACTACAGGCCATGCTGATCCATCAAACACAAATGCCAATAATGGTCTTTCAAGCACTACAGGCCATGCTGATCCATCAAACACAAATGCCAATAATGGTCTTTCAAGCACTACAGGCCATGCTGATCCATCAAGCACAGATGCCAATAATGGTCCTTCAAGCACTACAGGCCATGCTGATCCATCAAACACAGATGCCAATAATGGTCTTTCAAGCACTACAGGCCATGCTGATCCATCAAACACAGATGCCGATAATGGTCCTTCAAGCACTACAGGCCATGCTGATCCATCAAACACATATGCCAATAATGGTCTTTCAAGCACTACAGGCCATGTTGATCGATCAAGCACAGATGCCAATAATGGTCCTTCAAGCACTACAGGCCATGCTGATCGATCAAGCACAGATGCCAATAATGGTCCTTCAAACACTACAGGCCATGCTGATCCATCAAACACAGATGCCAATAATGGTCTTTCAAGCACTACAGGCCATGCTGATCCATCAAACACAGATGCCAATAATGGTCCTTCAAGCACTACAGGCCATGCTGATCCATCAAACACAGATGCCAATAATGGTCTTTCAAGCACTACAGGCCATGCTGATCCATCAAACACAGATGCCAATAATGGTCCTTCAAGCACTACAGGCCATGCTGATCCATCAAACACAAATACCAATAATGGTCTTTCAAGCACTACAGGCCATGCTGATCCATCAAGCACAGATGCCAATAATGGTCTTTTAAGCACTACAGGCCATGCTGATCCATCAAGCACAGATGCCAATAATGGTCCTTCAAGCACTACAGGCCATGCTGATCCATCAAGCACAGATGCCAATAATGGTCCTTCAAGCACTACAGGCCATGTTGATCGATCAAGCACAGATGCCAATAATGGTCTTTCAAGCACTACAGGCCATGCTGATCCATCAAACACAGATGCCAATAATGGTCCTTCAAGCACTACAGGCCATGCTGATCCATCAAGCACAGATGCCAATAATGGTCTTTCAAGCACTACAGGCCATGCTGATCCATCAAGCACAGATGCCAATAATGGTCCTTCAAGCACTACAGGCCATGCTGATCCATCAAGCACAGATGCCAATAATGGTCTTTCAAGCACTACAGGCCATGCTGATCCATCAAACACAGATGCCAATAATGGTCTTTCAAGCACTACAGGCCATGCTGATCCATCAAACACAGATGCCAATAATGGTCTTTCAAGCACTACAGGCCATGTTGATCGATCAAGTACAGATGCCAATAATGGTCCTTCAAGCACTACAGGCTATGTTGATCGATCAAGTACAGATGCCAATAATGGTCTTTCAAGCACTACAGGCCATGCTGATCCATCAAGCACATATGCCAATAATGGTCCTTCAAGCACTACAGGCCATGCTGATCCATCAAGCACAGATGCCAATAATGGTCCTTCAAGCACTACGGGCCATGCTGATCCATCAAACACAGATGCCAATAATGGTCTTTCAAGCACTACAGGCCATGCTGATCCATCAAGAACAGATGCCAATAATGGTCTTTCAAGCACTACAGGCCATGCTGATCCATCAAGCACAGATGCCAATAATGGTCCTTCAAGCACTACAGGCCATGTTGATCCATCAAACACAGATGCCAATAATGGTCTTTCAAGCACTACAGGCCATGCTGATCCATCAAACACAGATGCCAATAATGGTCTTTCAAGCACTACAGGCCATGCTGATCCATCAAACACAGATGCCAATAATGGTCCTTCAAGCACTACAGGCCATGTTGATCCATCAAACACAGATGCCAATAATGGTCTTTCAAGCACTACAGGCCATGCTGATCCATCAAACACAGATGCCAATAATGGTCTTTCAAGCACTACAGGCCATGCTGATCCATCAAACACAGATGCCAATAATGGTCCTTCAAGCACTACAGGCCATGCTGATCCATCAAGAACAGATGCCAATAATGGTCTTTCAAGCACTACAGGCCATGTTGATCGATCAAACACAGATGCCAATAATGGTCCTTCAAGCACTACAGGCCATGCTGATCCATCAAACACAGATGCCAATAATGGTCTTTCAAGCACTACAGGCCATGCTGATCCATCAAACACAGATGCCAATAATGGTCCTTCAAGCACTACAGGCCATGTTGATCCATCAAACACAGATGCCAATAATGGTCTTTCAAGCACTACAGGCCATGCTGATCCATCAAACACAGATGCCAATAATGGTCTTTCAAGCACTACAGGCCATGCTGATCCATCAAACACAGATGCCAATAATGGTCCTTCAAGCACTACAGGCCATGCTGATCCATCAAGAACAGATGCCAATAATGGTCTTTCAAGCACTACAGGCCATGTTGATCGATCAAACACAGATGCCAATAATGGTCCTTCAAGCACTACAGGCCATGCTGATCCATCAAACACAGATGCCAATAATGGTCTTTCAAGCACTACAGGCCATGCTGATCCATCAAACACAGATGCCAATAATGGTCCTTCAAGCACTACAGGCCATGCTGATCCATCAAACACAGATGCCAATAATGGTCCTTCAAGCACTACAGGCCATGCTGATCCATCAAGAACAGATGCCGATAATGGTCCTTCAAGCACTACAGGCCATGTTGATCGATCAAGTACAGATGTCAATAATGGTCCTTCAATTGCTGCAGTTCCAACAAGCCCAATTGTTTATTCAGGTCATTCGGATACTGCAATATTAACCAGTACATCAATCACATCTCCTCCAGCTGACCAGTCAAGCAATGCAGTTCATACTGATTTATCAAAAACAACTATCTCTGCTGGTGTTTCAAGCAATTTACTTCATACAGATATATCAATCACAACTGCTCCAAATGGTCCTTCAAACACCATAGGCCACAGTGATCCATCAAGCACAACTGCTGCTAATGCTCCCGCCACCACTAAAGACCTTCAAGATTCATCAAAGACATCTGTTCCTGTTGGTTCTTCAACAGCTGCTGCTCCTACAGATCTTTCAAACACAACTGGTTATACTGGAACCTTGACCACTGCAGCTCATATTGATCTGTCAAGCACAACTGCTGCTAATGCTCCTGCCACCACTAAAGATCTTCAAGATTCATCAAAGACATCTGTTCCTGTTGGTGCTTCAACTGCTGCTGCTCCTACAGATCTTTCAAACACAACTGTTCATACTGGAACCTTGACCACTGCTGCTCCTATTGATCTGTCAAGCACAACTGCTGCTAATGCTCCTGCCACCACTAAAGATCTTCAAGATTCATCAAAGACATCTGTTCCTGTTGGTTCTTCAACTGCTGCTGCTCCTACAGATCTTTCAAACACAACTGTTCATACTGGAACCTTGACCACTGCTGCTCCTATTGATCTGTCAAGCACAACTGCTGCTAATGCTCCTGCCACCACTAAAGATCTTCAAGATTCATCAAAGACATCTGTTCCTGTTGGTTCTTCAACAGCTGCTGCTCCTACAGATCTTTCAAACACAACTGTTCATACTGGAACCTTGACCACTGCTGCTCCTATTGATCTGTCAAGCACAACTGCTGCTAATGCTCCTGCCACCACTAAAGATCTTCAAGATTCATCAAAGACATCTGTTCCTGTTGGTTCTTCAACTGCTGCTGCTCCTACAGATCTTTCAAACACAACTGTTCATACTGGAACCTTGACCACTGCAGCTCCTATTGATCCATCAAGTACAACTGCTGCTAATGCTCCCGCCACCACTAAAGATCTTCAACATTCATCAAAGACATCTGTTCCTGTTGGTTCTTCAACAGCTGCTGCTCCTACAGATCTTTCAAACACAACTGGTTATACTGGAACCTTGACCACTGCAGCTCATATTGATCCGTCAAGCACAACTGCTGCTAATGCTCCCGCCACCACTAAAGATCTTCAACATTCATCAAAGACATCTGTTCTTGTTGGTTCTTCAACTGCTGCTGCTCCTACAGATCTTTCAAACACAACTGTTCATACTGGAACCTTGACCACTGCTGCTCCTATTGATCTGTCAAGCACAACTGCTGCTAATGCTCCTGCCACCACTAAAGATCTTCAAGATTCATCAAAGACATCTGTTCCTGTTGGTTCTTCAACTGCTGCTGCTCCTACAGATCTTTCAAACACAACTGTTCATACTGGAACCTTGACCACTGCAGCTCCTATTGATCCATCAAGTACAACTGCTGCTAATGCTCCCGCCACCACTAAAGATCTTCAAGATTCATCAAAGACATCTGTTCCTGTTGGTTCTTCAACAGCTGCTGCTCCTACAGATCTTTCAAACACAACTGTTCATACTGGAACCTTGACCACTGCTGCTCCTATTGATCTGTCAAGCACAACTGCTGCTAATGCTCCTGCCACCACTAAAGATCTTCAAGATTCATCAAAGACATCTGTTCCTGTTGGTTCTTCAACTGCTGCTGCTCCTACAGATCTTTCAAACACAACTGTTCATACTGGAACCTTGACCACTGCAGCTCCTATTGATCCATCAAGTACAACTGCTGTTAATGCTCCCGCCACCACTAAAGATCTTCAAGATTCATCAAAGACATCTGTTCCTGTTGGTTCTTCAACAGCTGCTGCTCCTACAGATCTTTCAAACACAACTGTTCATACTGGAACCTTGACCACTGCAGCTCCTATTGATCCATCAAGTACAACTGCTGCTAATGCTCCCGCCACCACTAAAGATCTTCAAGATTCATCTAAGACATCTGTTCCTGTTGGTTCTTCAACAGCTGCTGCTCCTACAGAACTTTCAAACACAACTGTTTTGTCACACCCTACCACCTCAATAAAGCCTACTTATCAATCAAGCACAATCATTCCTCCTGGTGCCATAAACACCACTGCCACTACAGATCACTCCAGCACAGCTGTACCAACTCATCGTGTGGATACTATAAATTCAACCAGTACATCAATCACAACTGCTAATAAGATTAGCACATCCATATTATTCGTGAACTCAACACACTCTAAAAGTGTCACCACCTCAACCACTTCCACTTCTCAACCACCATCTTCACTGCCAACCAGTCGTCGTTCAACTACAGTTTACACAGGTTCAGCAGTGCCAGGCGAGGGATTTGTTATTCTGCAGATCCGTTTAGAGATAACATATATTGAAGCTTTCAATAATCCTGCTTCAACAGAGTATCAGACTCTGTCCTTAAACATCACAATTGAGGTGATTTAAAAATTATTTTCACTTTTTATATACTAATATTAAAAGACTTTAATTATTCTGTCCAGATTACATTTATAGTGAGTTTAATTTATAGCTTAAGTCTGTGTGTTTCTATACGTTTCTGTAGCTGAATCGAGTGTACCAGGAAATTTTTGGGACCACATTCCTCAGATGCTACGTCAAAAGATTCTGGTATGTTTCTTTCTTTCTTTCTTTCTTTCTTTCTTTCTTTCTTTCTTTCTTTCTTTCTTTCTTTCTTTCTTTCTTTCTTTCTTTCTTTCTTTCTTTCTTTCTTTCTTTCTTTCTTTCTTTCTTTCTTTCTTTCTTTCTTTCTTTCTTTCTTTCTATACAAAGTAGGTTAGACTCTCTTAAACTGAGAGAGTGTCTTAAGCCTGGAACACACCAAGTCGACGCAGACGAACTAGCGCTGATGAAAGCCGACTGTGTTGTCGCCTCTCGTCCGTTCTCGTCGGGGTAAAAAGCTGCACGTTAACACACCGAGAGAACTACAGGCGACTGTCAGCTAAATGTGCGTTCTGCACCTGCGTGTAATGAGCCAACTGTCTATTTCTGCAGATATATTAGTCCATATTCGTCATTCAAAAAGGAAAACCGACGCTGCCGGCTGCAGATACACACCGTAAACAAAGCAGTGCGTGCTTACCGTTTTCAATATCAGTCCTGCTAAACACTTTCTTTATTCCACTCCACTCATGTTAGTATTGAAATATCTGCCAAGGAACACTCAGGTAAGAAGACATAACATAAGAACAGCCTTCTACCTCGTTTTTAATCAACTGACTGCTTTTAAGATTAGCACATCCATATTATTCGTGAACTCAACACACTCTAAAAGTGTCCCACCTCAAGCCACTTCCTTCTCAACCACCATCTTCACTGCCAACCAGTCGTCGTTCAACTACAGTTTACACAGGTTCAGCAGTGCCAGGCGAGGGATTTGTTATTCTGCAGATCCGTTTAGAGATAACATATATTGAAGCTTTATAATCCTGCTTGACAGAGTATAGATAGGGCCTCTGTCCCTTAAACATCACAATTGAGGTGATTTAAAATTGTTCACTTTTGAGATAAAGGTACTAATATTAAAAGACTTTAATTATCTGTCCAGATTACATTTATAGTGAGTTTAATTTATAGCTTAAGTATGTGTGTTTCTATACGTTTCTGTAGCTGAATCGAGTGTACCAGGAATTTTTGGGACCACATTCCTCAGATGCTACGTCAAAAGATTCTGGTATGTTTCTTTCTTTCTTTCAACTTCAGTTTCTTTCTTTCTTTCTTTCTTTCTTTCTTTCTTTCATTTCTTTCTTTTCTTTCTTTCTTTCTTTCTTTCTCCAGACTTTCTTCTTTCTGTCTTCAGCTTTCTTTCTTTTTCTTTCTTTCTTTCTTTCTTTCTATACAAAGTAGGTTAGACTCTCTTTAAACTGAGAGAGTGTCTTAAAGCCTGGAACATTACACCAAGTCGATACAACGAACTAGCGCTGATGAAAGCCGACTGTGTTGTCGCCTCTCGTCCGTTCTCGTCGGGGTAAAAAGCTGCACGTTAACACACCGAGAGAACTACAGGCGACTGTCAGCTAAATGTGCGTTCTGCACCTGCGTGTAATGAGCCAACTGTCTATTTCTGCAGATATATTAGTCCATATTCGTCATTCAAAAAGGAAAACCGACGCTGCCGGCTGCAGATACACACCGTAAACAAAGCAGTGCGTGCTTACCGTTTTCAATATCAGTCCTGCTAAACACTTTCTTTATTCCACTCCACTCATGTTAGTATTGAAATATCTGCCAAGGAACACTCAGGTAAGAAGACATAACATAAGAACAGCCTTCTACCTCGTTTTTACTTCTTTGCTTGCTGTTTGGCTTTTATTGTCGTGCACTGACTCTTTCACTAAGCTGAACAGCCAATCAGAGTTCTCTCTTTCCCCGACGGCCCGACGTCGATTCAACGTCGAATCGGGGTTAAAAACAAAGCCGACGAGGACTATTTTCAGCCGACGGCACGGAACCATGCGCAACACACCGAGGAAACTCAGTCGGCCGACGCACAAAAACTGCCAGACGGCCGACCGTCGGCTTGGTGTGTTCAGTGCTTTAGTCCCGAACAGTGTTAGGGACTAAGACCATAGTTGAATTATAGTCTCTGTGCTATGATAGGGTCTAGATAGGGCCTACATTTTTTTCAGATGTGTCCTTGGGAAAGGGAGATTTAATACTGTTCAGGAGATGTTATGAGATTAAAGGTAACTCTTTTTTTATTAGCTGTTTCTTGTCAATCTGGCCACTTTACTAATTAAATACCTGGGATTGTTTCTATTGCTCTGAAATATGCAGATCTCATAGCATTCAGATAAAAACACCATCCCAACATTTCACCATATTTGTAATGAAAATTATGTATCAATTAATTCAGATTTAAAGATCTTTCTTAAAGATCACTTTCATTTTGAGTGCAACTACAGTTACTGCAGAGCATTATTTTAAACTTTCAATCTATTCATTGACAGAACCTTTTCTTAGTTGCTTTTAAAGGATCTCCAGACTTAGCTTACATTTTCTGTTTCAGCAGTTGTTTCTTTTCACCTAGATGTCTCAGCAGAAATAAATTTGAGATATTTTCAAATGAGATTAACTCATCACATTTCAAATCACAACATATGTTTGCCACATCATACAGCCCTAATTCAATCTTAAAGTAAATAGTCATCTATATCTAGTCAAATCTAATGTTTTCATTTATTTTTGTCCTCCAGGCCTGGGTCAGTAGGTGTGGATACAGAACTTATTTTTAAAAACCAGACTGTGGTTCCAAATGCAACAAAGATTCAAGAGACTCTTAAAACAGCAATTACTGAATCAAAAGTGTTCATTTTTTCTGTGATTCCTTCGAGCATCAGTGTTGGTGAGTTCCTCATTTTCTCAAACTGTTTTTGAAAGTAGACGATGATTTGCTGAAATTGTCCCTTCAGTCTTTGTCTTATACTTGTTTCTCCATACTTTCAGTCGAACAGCAAGACTCAACTTTGACCACCAGACAAACACAGAGAACACAAACAACACAAACATCCTCTGCTATTGCGCCGGCTTTGTCTAGTATGCTGTTCATGCTTTTGCTTCTGCTTCTGCTATGGAATGAAACACTGTAACTGTCAAATGCAAACCTACAATTAATATTATGAAAACTCTATTATCTGGTTTTGTGCTACATTTCTATTACTCTTGATTTTATCTTGTGGAAAAATTGTGACATGGAATAATTAAAAAAAAGTCCTTTCATGCATTTCTTGGGACAACTGGGGAATTTCAGCGCTTCTTGTGATTAAAAATTTAAAATATCCATAATGTTTGAGTTGATTATTTATTACTTTTTTGCATGGATGTTACAATAAATTGGAAATATGAATCTGAAGTGCAATATTACATTTATTAAATTCTCAGATGCCTTATCTAAAGTGATATGAGGTGTGTATATATATATATATATATATATATATATATATATATGTATATATTTTTTTTTTTCATAATTTCATGTATTCCCTGGGAATTGAACCTATGACTGGCTTTGCTATCACTGTGTTTGAGCAACAGGAACACATTGCTGCTGAATATCACTGTTCTTAAACGGATCATGACCTCCCATCACCATATCTCAGATCGGCCTTACCCATTCTGAGGACGACGCTCCATCCAAAAAAGCTCCATCACTGCTTCAACCACTTGGACTCAAGAAGCTTAGGTGCTTCTTTTATTACTGCGCAGCTTTATCAGAATTGTCTCCCTAAGTTTCTCTCTGCGTTGATGCTTATTAGCACCCAGCAGAAAGTCACTTGTGAAGCAGCATAGCGATCCAACAAACCATTGCATATTTAAGTAAATAAAAAAGAAATAAGAGTTTCACTACTCATTAAGCAACCATTACCACTCTTTAATTGGAAAGATTTAATTCTATATTAAAAATCTCCAGAACAATCATTAAATGAAACTTTGTCACTGAAATGAAATTATCTAATTTTTAAAATCAATCTCATGCGTTCTAAACTCATATGACCTTCTGTTTAACACAAAAGAAGATGTTGGCAGACTCGTTTACTGTTCACGTCGACTGCATATAATGAAATATTATGTCCAACTTCATTTTTTGTTGGACAGTTAGAAAGGTTTGGAAACTTAATACAGTGGAAATCAATAAAAAAATTATCAGTTGTTCGCTAAAAAAAACGAATTACATGTATGGACTGATCATATGCTTTTATCCAAACTGATTCACAAATGTGGAACTTCACAAGCAATAAACTAATGGAACTGGCAAATCATCAATATATATATTGCTTTTCTCAAATATATTAAGAAGTAAGTATTAAAGGTGCCCTCTGGCATCAAAAATCAAATCATACACCATATTCCATACCAGATGGGGGCAGTATACCTCCGCCACCTTGCACACTCTCATGTCTTCAAACAACACGAAGCGAGCGCTGTTTTGCTCTCTCTCCCTCGCGCATATTAATCAAATTATTTGACACGATAGTAAAAGGTTGGAAGACCGCAGTTTCACGTGGAGCATTTGCAGATTTTTAGAGATTAGAGACTCAATGAACAACATCTCAATACTAAATTATAAAGGCCGTCTCATAGACAAGCCGGTGCATTTCGACAATATGGGAAAATTAAAGCCCGGGCTATTATTTCTAGTTTTATGGTATTCCTTTTGTTCATATTACATTTTTATCATTAGTTTGAATTAATTTTACAGACAGCATTCCCTGATGTGGACCAAGCTAGCGTCTTTCAGAGCTGAACTCTCACGAATACACCGTGAGACACACAATTGACACTTTTCACACACTCTCACGCCACACATCAATTTTGTCATGCACAGAAAGGGACACGGAGACCGACAGACTAAACAGAGCAGGGTTAATTATGATATAAAAAAAACTCTCAGATTCTGTCAATTTTATTACGCAATTCAAACAATAAATACACTTTTTTGGCGCTTGTAAATGTTACACCACAGATCCCTAGCACACGTGAACCGATCTCTAGTAGCTAATGGTAAAAGAACATTAACCCTGTTGAAAGATACAGTATGCTACAACTTACCAAAATGTGTTCCTCATGCATAATATCGACCAATCATTTTTTTTTTAACTCTTCCCTGAACTGAAATGTAGTAGTGGGCTGTATTCTCCACACGACTGACATCAGGTTTAAATACATCTATGACACCCACAAGTCATGCGAGTTATCCGTGTATTGCAGTTTGGCTGGTGGTTATGTTGCCTGCCCGCATAAGGCCTCCCATGGCCAAAACTGGTATCATGACACCTGCCGGGCCGGCGCTAGTGATTTAGCATGCTAATTCAGGTTAATATCTCGGCAGCACTATAACTTGTCATTTTTTTAATGACATCATCAACCTTATTTCTTCTCATTCTTTTGATGCGCGTAGCTCATTTTTTTGATATTTTAACCTCAATTTTTACAGAGGGCACCTTTAAGAAAGTTCCAACCTACCTTTCATATAAATCCTGGCAGAGAAAGCATACGACAGAGAAAGCACATGGCAGAAAAAGAACAGGCTTGTTTGAGATGAGCAAAATCTGCACAGAACCGATCACCGGTGATCAGCGCGAGATGCATGCCGGTTAGAAATGTGTCCGAGAGCCGTCCGCCTTATTCTGATGTCATGGTGATGTGTGTCAAAAAACTCTCGCGAGCGCAAGGCGGACCTGTCGGATTCTGCAGTTGCGCGCAGTTCATCTCCACCGACTGCGCTGATCAAAAGCACAATGGGAAACGACTTGCTGATGAACCAGCTGAATGCTCATTAGTTTAAACAACCGTGATGTATTTTTCTCTTTTAACATGTTATCAAAACTCTGATATCATGTTTATGTGTATACATATGTTATGGGTGAATAAACTCATCTCTGACAGTGTGCTATGGTTTATTATTTTATTATGTATGTGTCATTTTTACAATATATAAAACCACGTCTGTATTAAAAAAAATGATTGATAAAACACATATTTGGAATGTAATTAAACAACAAGTACTTTAGGTGTCTTGTTCATTATATTTATTTTCATATAAAAGCAACAGAACATTAAATCACATCCAGTTTATTACAACATGAGCGAGAATCCCTTGAATCTCGCAATATCATACTTTAATCTCACAGGTGTCTGTTCCACTGCGAGAACCGAGATCTGTCCGGCTTGACTGCGCTTTCTCAGAGACAGAGAAAGCACATGACAGAGAAAGCACATAAAGCATTGTATAATTAATTGTATAATTAAAGCATTAATTGTGTAATTTTAAGGTATCTCTGCAATAATTTCCAGTTTATATGCATATTTTATCATTTGTTTAACGTTCTACAGACATTTTTTAATGAGATTTTCTTTTCATTCTACTGTAGTGGAACTGAATTTTTTGTCTTTTTACATAGAATTTAATGTAAAATTTAACAGTCAAGCCAATTAAAAAGAATAATCCTGTAAAAAAAAAATTCTCTTTATATGAATTTACAGATTATTACTTTTATTTTATGGTTAATGTTTTTAATAAAAGTTTTTTTCTGTGTTTTAATGACATCTACACGTGATGTTAAAAAACAGAAAATATCTGTAAAATAATACAGTATATTTCTGTGAACTTTTTTTACAGTGCATATCACTTAAAACTACAATTCCCAGAATTCCTCCTGCTCAACACCTGCACTTACTCAGCCATCATCCTCACCTGCACCTGATCAACACACTCATCTCCACAGTATTTAAGCTCACCTCAGTCAAACACTATGACTGGTCTAAGACTGCGTTACTTGCCTGAGTTATTGATCCTCTGAGATTTCTTCAAGATCCTGTCTCCTAAATCACTCGTCTGTTCTCTACCTCCAACATTCCCACAATCCTTGTAAGGCAAAGACATTGTTTATTCATTTACTCTCATGGCAACCAAAATGTGTGTGTGTGTGTGGAAATACTTAATACCCTTTATCTTCACCTTCAAACTCAAGAATTGAAGTATTATACTTGGATTGCTCATTGTTTGATGTCTATACTTCCCTGTTTTGGACACTGTGTAAAAGTATAGAACCGGGTGTGTATTGATCTGGTGTGACTTTAACTGTTTAAATGCTGTGCTTTTTGTTTTAGTTTGAAGTGCTGGACTGTCCTATTTGAATGAGCCTATTTTGAATTTGAATGCCCTAAATGAGCATTAGCACTGATGCTGAATGTCAGCCTGTCCTCTCTGAGCAGTGTGTGTGTACGTGTGAATGCAGTCTGAGCAAGGATGCAGATCAGGCCTTGAGGGGTTTTTTTATGCATCCGTCTACTTTTAATGTCTTGTTAATCCACACTTTGTATCTCACCCCTCCCTGTTCTACAGCTCTCTGATGTCCCAAAACTGTGTTGGTCAGTCCCAAGACGAGCCAAGTATGACGAATGTATAAAATTGAGACCACAAAGAACAAAGTGACACAACATCCCTCCACCAACTTCACCAAACCTTGGAAGGGTTTGAGAGCAGGTACGCTTGCCACTTATCTATATTCACTACATTAGTGCCTTATTTTATTTATGCTTTATGAAGCTGTACAAGTAATTTGCTTTGTACAACACCATTGCTGCTGTTGTATTTATGCCTTCAATTCACCTCGTGTCCAATTAAGACTTGAAGAGTTCAGATGCAAAAGCCTCTAAGTGCCATTTGAAATTTTCTTCTAGAATGATCATTTTTATCAAGCTTGTATATTTAAGTTAAGTGATTTCACTTCAATGGCAATGATAATTCCCTAGTAATTGTTATTTAAGTGAAATTACTGAACTTAAATATACAAGTTTGATAAAAATCATTAAAGAAGAAAATTTCAAATTGCATTTAGAGGCTTTTGTATCTGAACTCTTCACTTGTCTGTCTATTGTTACAATGGCCATTTTGTTTTTGTGCATTTTCCTATCTTCGTATTTTTTTTTTCTAAGCTTATTTTTTGTTTATGATTTAATGTCTTCCATCCATCTTTCATTAATGCTCCTTGCATTATTAGCCATTATGCTGTTCTATGTCCCTGTCCAATTGACTTACTATAATCGCCCATTCCTATTTTTCTAAAACTTTTTATTTATTCAACTCAAGTTTATTTGTATAGTGCATTTCACAATACACATTGTTTCAAAGTAGCTTTACAGAAAGAGCAAAGTACATGGAAAAATACATTTGTTTAATCATGTAATATTTAGGACATACCATATAGCCGGCGTTGAGTCGTCTCTTCACAGGCGTTGGGGCATCTGAAGTCTCTGTGTGAGGCTGGATAAAAACTGGAGCTGACTAACACCATTTTTCCCATCCTCCCTCTCTGATGTGTGCGTGTGTCACAGATACCATAGTTCATC